AAAAAATCATAAAAAAATTAATTAGAGAAAACTGTCTTTACAGCAATATTTAGAAGCAGGGACATACCTCGTGTTGGAGATTCAGCTAGACAAAGCCTTGGTTCCAAAGCGTATGCCAGAGGAGCTAGCCAAAAGGTATGTAGAAATGGTGCTCATACTTGTTTTGCAAAAATGACGTAGATACAAGGAAGTAGATTTTTTTCCCTACAAATGTAATTTCCCTTGCTATAAGTAGCAGACAAGTTTCTGGAGTTTTTTTTTTTTCAGGTGAAATTTCTTTTATAGTTTCTTACTACAAAAGCAGTATGCACTTAAAAGAAATTTTAAATATCGGAAAAAAGTCTGAGAGGGCTTCAGAAAGTTCATGGAAAAATTCTGTTATCTTTTCATTCCATTTGTCCATGAACTTCTTGAAGTCGCCTTGTAGATAAAAACACTCAGCTTTCCTGCTCACTGCTAACATTTGAGCATCTGCCCTTCTCTCTCTCTAAGTGCCACTGAGTGGAACCACTCCATAGGGTTTCCAAGACTGTAAATCTTTACAGGAACAGACAGCCTCCTCATTTGCCCTTGGAGCAGGTGGTGGGTTTGAACAGCTGAGCTTGTGGTTAGCAGCCCAATGCTTTACCTACTATGCCAACAGACCTACCATTAACCTTTTACTACTGCTGTTGTTGTTATGTGCTGTTGAGTCGGTTCCCACTCATAGTGACCCTGCACAGGCTTTCCAAGGAGCAGCTGGTGAATTTGAACCTGCATTAAGAAAAATTTGCTCAAATGACCATCAAATGCCGAATTGATACACAAAATATGACATATATCCATATAATAGAATAATATTTGCCAGTAAAAAGGAATGAAGTGCTGATTGGAACATGCTATAAGTATGGTGCTATAGGATCAGCACTGGGCTGTTAACCTCAAGGTTGGTGGTTCAAACCCACCAGCCGCTTCTTGGAAACCCTATACAGGGTCATTATGAGTCAGAACTGACTCGATGGCACTTCACAACAGCACACACATATACGTGCTGGGGTTGATGTCCTGGGGTGGAAAGCAGGACTCTGTAGCTGAGGCTGGACTTGACAACATGAGCTAATGAAAGAAGTGGACATAAAGATCACATACTGTTTATTCCATTTGTATGGAATGTCCAGAGCAGGCAGATCAGTAGAGACAGAAAGTAGCTCAGTAGTGACTTACAGATAGGGGATGGGATATTGGAAAGAATTAAGGAGTGAATGCTGATGGGTATTGGGTTTCTTTTTGGGTGTGATAGTAACATTCTTAAATTAGTTGTGGTGATGGTGCACACTTCTGTGAATATATTAAAAGCCACTGCATTGTACACTTTAAATGAGTGACATGTATGGTATATGAAGATTTTTTTTTTTTAAAAAAAGATCAATAAATTTTTTTAAAAAATCAATAAAATGAACCAACATTTAGCTAGATTGATAAAAAGAAACAGAGAAAAGCCTCAAATTTCTAAAACCAGAAAGGAAATGAGGACTAGCACTGCTGATATTACAGAAATAAAAAGTATTTTAGGAGGACACATGTCCCTGGGTGGTGCAAATGGTTAATATATTCAGCTGCTAACTGAAAGGTCGGAGTCCTGGGGTAGCACTGTATGATAAGCACTGGCCTGCTAACTTCAAGGTCAGTGGTTCAAACCCACCAGCCGCTTCTAGGAAACCCTATACAGGGTTGTGATGAGTCGAACCAATTCGACCACACTTAACAGCAACAATTGAAAGACTGACAGTTCGAATCCACCCAGACATGCCCCCTAAGAAAGGTCTTGTGCAAATGTAAATCTGCAGACAGTAATTCAATTTTTTTTCTGATACAGGGTCAAGGAAATGATTCCTCCAAGACCTCCTCTTACCCGTCGTACAGGAGGCGCTCAGAAGGCAAGTGCTAGAGCCCAGGTGGAACGCTAACCTATGGGCTATGGAGTTTGTGCATTTAGACTGTAAACTTTGGATTCATAAGTATTGTTTTCCGGCAGGTAGGAGAAGTTATTTGAAGCTACACATATTTTCATTCCCGATTCCCTTTATGACTAGTGACATGCAGTGACAAGGTTACAGTGTTTCATGTTTGGCTGGCAGTCTCTGAAAAGGACAGTTTATCCCTAAATGTTAATAAACATAGAACTCAGTTCAGAGTCGAATCCACACTCCTGACTTCTTTGAGGTCTCTTTACTAGATATTCCCCAACCCCTTTTGGATGTTTTTTCCTAGGCGGTGAGTGACTACCACATGCAGATTAAGAACATTTCCAGAGCCATCCTGGATGAATACTACAGGCTGTTTGGGAAAGAGGTGGCCCAACTGGAGAATGAAATGGACAGCGAAACCATGGAAGACCAGAAGTGCCAGCTCAACTACGAACTAAACTGCTCTGGAAAATACTTTGCTTTCAAAGAGCAACTCAAGGCAAAACGTTTCTTTCATTATTCCATGGTTGTCTTATTTTTGTTGTTATTGAGCGCCTTATCTATATACCCAGTTAAACTTTTCATTTTTATCCTGGAGTCCTGTGGGGTAAAGCACTGGACCAAAAGGTCAGTTTGAAACATAAGATCATTAGTTCAAATTCACCAAGCCACTCCTTGGAAACCCAATGCAGGGTCACTATGAAACTGACTCAACGGCACTCAACAACAACAACAACAACAAATGCCCAGCTACGCTCCCACCTTTGTCATTGTTGGTGTGAAGGACTATGTTCTCTTTGATGCAGTTTCAGAAGCAGCTTCACTGGTATAGAGTCTTGGGATGGTTCAGTATCCATTCTGAGTGTGAGCTTTTAACAACCTAATTTTCCACTTGGAGTTAGGCCAGATTCTGGGCCAGATTTCATGTTGCTCTAGGGGCAGAAATCCTGCACCCAGTGCGATGTAACTTACCATCTCTGTCTTTTAGTTTGAACCTTTCTCAAGTCCAGACCGGCACTAACATTCATGCAGTGTTTATTCCGTAAGAGTTTATTGACTAATAGGGTTAACATTATTGCCACCATCCATCTGTCAACTGCCATTCTCTGGTAACTTGCATGTTGCTATGATGCTGGAAGCTGTGCAGCTTGTTTTTGAAAACTAGGGTCACCATGGTGGACAGGTGACCCTAGAGCTGGCAGGCTTAGACTAGGAGTAAAGACCTGAGGCTATACTTCCAAAGGATCGCCTGATGTTGTTATTGTTATTAAGTGCTGTTGAGTTGGTTCCAGCCCATAGCAACCCTGTAGAGGGTCAACAGTTCCAAGCGATTTTGCAGTCCAGTACATTAGCCCGCCGCGCCTAATGTAGCGCTGAAAAATGAGCCCGCGGTCGGAAGGCACTCAACTCACAGTGGCCACAGCAATGGACTGGTGCATACCAACCACTGGAAGATGGCCCAGGTCCAAGGAGCATTTTGTTCTGTTGTGCAGGGGGCTGCCCTAGATAGGAGCCCGCTTGATGACAACCAAGAACTAACAACAGCAAACTTCTGTTGAGCGGTTATTACATGCCAGGCACTTTCTACATACTTCCATCTTTACTAATTTAATCCTCACAACCACCATGTGAGTTTGGTAGCCCCAGTTTACAGATGGAGAAATGAGATATATGGAGGGTAAATCATTTGCCCAGGGTCACACAGCTAGTCAAGGTTCCAAGGCAGTAGACAGACTCCGGTGGTGTGGCTCCCGAGCTCGCATTCTTCACCACACAGGCCCTGCCCTCTGCGCACAGCCACTACATTCCTTCTGCTGCGCTAAACAGGCACAAAGGCCGCAAGTGGGAAGAATAAAGTCAAACACAGCGCATGCTTATGGAAGCAAGATGCTATTCTCAGTGGGTGATATAGACAGTTTATTTTCTGGTCCCGTCTTCATTAACTGGGAGGCCTGGGGCAAGTGACTTTACCTCTCAGAGCCTTAGTTTCTCATGAGATTTAATGATACAGACATGGATATAGACATGGTCTAAAACCTAGCAATAGTGTTTGCTTAGGGTGAAAAAGCTGACCTGGACTTAGTGACAAACTCTGTTTACATTTGTACAGCGTTTTACACTTTTCACTTGCTATCTTTTTTGGCTTCTCTGTTACCTTGAAGTAAGACAGTAATACTAGAAATATCGAACCCTTTATCAAATGAGGAAGCTGAATTACTAAAGTGAAAATTAATTTATAAGATTGTACAGAGGCAGGACTAAAACCGGAATTCTAGCCTCTGACTCTCATAGCCAGCCTTTCTCCCTTGACGCGTGTGGTCATCCTGAGAGAAAATGCATAGATATAATGCTGAGGTTTTCTTTGGGTTGATGACTCTCTTCACACAGTATATCAGCCCTACATTATCCCTCTTAGTGAAAATGGGGAAGCCAAGGAATAAGTCAGGGTGAGTTTGCTGACTTGGAGAAGATCAGAGAGCTGACAGTCACCACGAGAGAACCTAGTCACCTTCTGAGTTTTCAGTGAACCTTTGACCAGAAGCCCAAGTCCCAGTCATATTGTGCTGTGAGCGTGGTGCCAAACTGTGTATGTTCTGTGCATCTTGCAGCATGCTGTGGTAAAGATTGTGAGAGAGAAGTACTTGAAGACAACATCGTTTGAAAACCAGGAGGAACTGCAGACATTTATCAGTGAGCTCTATGTGTTCTTGGTGGATCAGATGCACGTGGTCCTAAACCAGGTGAGTGCCTGTGAAGTGACAGCCCTGCCTTTGACCCAGAGAGCAGCGGGTTCTTTTGTGGATGAGTCCTGTCTTCCTTGCTTGCCTCTTTTGTTTCTTCATTCATTCAGCAAACATTAGTGAGAAGTTGGCTGTATGGTAGGCCCTAAAATCACAAAGATGACTGAAATACTGTTTCAATTCCACGGCTAACTCTGGGTAGGACAAGGAAGCATGCTCATTTATCTTCCAAGAAAACACATTTCTGAACTGTCAGAAATATGGAATTGTCACAATTGGCTATGGAAATTGTGAAACAAAAATTAACTTGCTCTTTCTTCTGTGAACATGTGAGATTTTCATTTTTTTCCTTCAAGATAGACAGTAAGAAAAAGAAAAAACTGAGTTTTCAGATAAGATGCCTAACTGAGAACAATACTTAAATGTGCCTTTTTGCCACCTGACTGGCATTCTGTTTTCCTACCCACTTAGCTGCTTATATACACACAGATGGCGTCTTGCCTTCAGTTACTCATTGCTTGTATCCTCCTGGTTTATTTGGATGCAGTGACAAAATCTAAGTCTCTCTTTCTGTCTGTAACCTGCTATACCTCCTTAGAGCCTCTGTTCAAGTTGATTTTTCTTTCACTTGTTTTTCTTCTCTACCACCATCACTTCTTTCACCTGATTTAGCCTTTTTGGAAGAGGTAGATCAGGAGTGGCCAGTATGTCAGGATTAGGAGAATAATCCTGCTTTGGGGTATTTAGGATGGTGGACAGCAGCTGAGAGTTGCAATGTGAGATGGGAATTATTTTTGTCTATGCCCCTAAGGAAGGAGCTCTGATCGTGTAGTGGTTATAGTCAGGCTGCTAATCTCAGTCAGCAGTTCGAAACTACCAGCGGTTCCACGGGAGAAAGATGAGGCTTTCTGCTCCCGTAAAGATTACAGCCTCAGAAACCCTGTACAGGGTTGCTCTGAGTCAAAAACAATTCCACAGCACATTACCACCACCACCACCACCACCACCATGCCTCTAAGGAGTCCCTTTCTAATAGAAGGGACCAGCACAAAATACAAATAACTGCAGCACAGTGAGGTGGGTCTATAGGCTAGGAGATGCTAAATGGGGAAAAAAAAAAAAAAAAAAAGGTGTACTCTCTTTGGGGACCTTTCAAGGAAAAATTCACTGAAGAGCTGTGGTTTGAGCTGCACCTGTAATTTTGCAAAGAGGTTTTCCAGGTGGAAGTGCAGAACATTTGAGTCACAGGGAATAACACAAAGGTTTGAAGATTGGAAGAGTATACAGAAATTGAAAATAGTTCAGGAGAAGATTTTGGGGCAGAGAACTAGGAGATGAAGTTCCTAATGGAGGAGCTGGGAGTATGGAGAGAGGCCTTGTATGCTATACAAAGATATTTTGTATTTCTTTCTCATAAGTGGTGATTGCTGTTAAGTGCTGTGGAGTTGGTACTGACTCATAGTGACCCTGTGTAGAGTTTCTGAGGAGCAGCTGGTGAGCTTGAACCACCGACCTTGCAGTTCAAACCGAACTTGCAGTCTAATGCATTAACACACAGCGCCACACCAGGACTCCTGATAAGTGGTAGGGAGCAATGAATGTAATTATTTTAAGCTGGATGTAATATGATCGGATTGCTACTTTACAAGAACACCCTGATAGCAATATGGAGGATGGGTTACACATGGGCAAAGTGGTGACATCTGCCTGGGAAGGACAAAGAGGAGTCAAAGATTCTTATTTTAAGGCTTTATGACTGGGTAGCTGATAGTACCATTAACTAGGATAAGAACTACAGTAGGAACACATCTGTGGGAAGGAGATGAAGTTGAATTACATACTGAACAAACACTCCAGTGGGGTATTGTTGAAGAGGGAGATCCGACCTAGAGATGACATTTGGAAGCTGTGAGCATTGCATGGTGGTGAAAACTGTGGCACAAGATAAAATTGCCTGAGAAAGACATGAGTAAAAGAGAGAAGAGGGGGTACAGTGGGACCTTAGAAAACACCAGCACTTATGGGATTTATGAGAAGAAGAATTGACGAAGAAGATAAGAAATTGTTAGAGGTGAAAGAACATAGATGCCAAGAGAAGAGAATTTTAAGAAGAAAAATTGGTCAACTTTGTCAAACACTGGCATGTGATGAAGTAAAGCAAAATCTGAAGTTTTCATTAGATTTGGCAGACAGAGGCCGTTAATCTTTACACAGCAATTTTATTAGTCCTCTTACACTGAAACTAAAATGCAAGTGATTCCGTGGATGTAGAAATAGATAAAATAGCTAGGATTCAAAAGTTGAGGAACATTTTTGCCTAATTCCTGTCTCCTCTGTGAAGTAAGGTCTTCATTGGAAGTGAAGAGAATAACAGTTCAATGAAAAGTTGAAGAGAAGAACATTTTGACATTGCATAGGAAAATACAATATGTTATTGAACAAAGGCAAATACATACATTGCTGAGTTGTATTAAAGGCTTCAGCTAACATCGAATCCCAAAAAGTCTGTGGAAGCTCAGATGTCCCCATGTCTGTGTAGTTTTCCTTAGGACCAGTTAACAGCTTGTAAAGAAATCAGATTGGTTTAATCTGGGGTTTCTTAGGCACATGAGCCCACAGCATGTCTGTCAGTTTGTCCCACGGTGGTGGCTCTGATGCTGGAAGCTATCGCACCAGTATTTTAAATACCATCAGGGTCACCCAGCATGGACAGGTTTCAGCACAGCTTCCAGCCTAAGGCAGACTAAGAAGAAGGAGAGATGGACTACTTTTGAATGTTCAGCCACTGAAAACCTTATGAATAGCAGTGGAACATAGTTATTGTGCCAGAAAATTAAAACATTATGATTAGCACCAGAATATTGTTAGATATAGTGCCAGAAGGTGAGTCCCTCAGGTTGGAAGACACTCAAAATAGGAATAGGAAAGAGCTGCCTCCTCAAAGTAAAGTTGACCATGATGACTCAAAAGGAGTAATACTTTCGGGACCTGAATTTGCTGATGGGTTATAACTTAAAATGGGGAGAAACAGCTGTAAACATCTATTAATAATCAGAACAAGGTATGTACAAAGTATGAATCGAGAAAATTGGATGTTGCCAAAATGTAAATGGAACACATAAAGATGGATATTCAAGGCATTAGTGAGCTGAAATGGACAGGTATTGGGCATTCAGAATCTGGGAGTCATATGGTTTACTATGCTCAGAGTGACAAATCCTAGAGGAATGCTATAGTATTCATCAAAAAGAACATTTCAGATCTATCTTGAAGTACAACGCTCTCTCTGATAGGATAATATCCATACACCTACAAGGTAGTGGTGGTTGTGTGCTGCTGAGTCAGTTTTTACCGATAGTGACCTTGTCTAGGGTTTCTGAGGTCGTAAATCTTTACAGGAACAGAAAGCCTCATTTATCTCTACAGAGCGACTGGTAGATTTGAAATGCTGACATTTCAGTTAACAGCCCAGTGTGTAACCCACTAGGCTACGAGGGTTCCTTACACCTACAATGAACACCAGTTAATGCAACTATTATTCAAATTACACATCAACCACTAGAGCCAGTGATGATGAAATTGAAGAATTCTACCAACTTCTTCCGTCTGAAACTGATGAAACATGCAATCAAAATGTATTAATTAATACTAGTGGCTGGAATGCAAAGGTTGGGGAAAAAAGAAGAAGAATCTGTGGTTGACAAATATGAACTTGGTGATAGAAATGATGCTGGAGATTGCATGATAGAATTTTGCAAATTATTTATTAATTGCAAATACCATTTTAAATTGCAAATACTATTATGTATATGGACCTCACCAAATGGAATACACAGGAACCAAATTGACTACTACATCAATGGGGAGAAATGGTGGGAAAACTCAATATTGTCAGCCAAAATAAGGCCATGGGCCAATTGTGGAACAGACCTTTCATTGCTTATGTGCAAAAATGCAGGCTGAAGCTGAAGAATACTAAAATGAGTCCATGAGAGCCAAAATGTTATCTTCAACATATCCCACCTGAATTTAGAGACCATCTCAAGAGCAGATTTGATGCGTTAGACACTAATGACCAAAGAACAAAAGAGCAAAGTCCTAGAGTTAGAAAACCAAAAGGGAAGAACATGGCGAACACTCCTCAAGTTGAGAGAACTGAAGAAAACATTCAAGCCTCAACTTGCAATATTGAAGAACTCCATGGGCAAAATGTTTAATTTTTCAGAAAGCATCAAAAGAATATGAAAGTCATTATACCAATTAGGAATAGTCAATGTTCAACCATTTCAAGAGGTAGCATATAATCAAGAACCAATGGTACTGAAGGAAGAAGCTGCTCTGAAGGTATTGGCAAAAAACAAGGCTCCAGAAATTGATGGAATATAAATGGAAATCTTCCAACAAACTGATGCAGTACTGAAGGCGCTCACTCATCTGTGTCAAGAAATTTGGAAGACCTGGCCAACCAATTGGAAGAAATCTGTTTGTGCCTATTGCAAAGAAAGGTGACCCAACAGAATGTGGAAATCATCAAACAGTATCATTAATATCACATACAAGTAAAATTTTGCTGAAGAAAATTAAAAAATGGCTGCAGCAGTAATCAACAAAGACCTGCCAGAAATTCAAGTTGAATTCAGAAGAGGACGTGGAACTAGGAATATCATTGCTGATGTCAGATCAATCTTGACTGAAAACAGAATCGCAGAAAGATGTTTATGTGACCTTTATTGACTTTTGACTGTGTGGATCATGACAAGGTATGGGTAACATTGTGAAGAATGGGTATTCCAGAACACTTAAGTAAGTACTCATGGGAATCTGTACATAGACCAAGAGGCAGTCATTCAAACAGGAAAAGAACATACTGAATGGTTTAAAATCAGGAAAGGTGTGTGCCAGGGCTGTGTTCTTTCACCATACTTACTCAGTCTGTATGCTGAGCAAATAATCCAAGAAGATGGATTATATTAAGAGCCTCATGTACACGTGAAAGTTGGACAGTGAATAAGGGAGACTGAAGAAGAGTTGATGCATTTGAGGTATGGTGTTGGAGAAAAATATTGAAAGTGCTATGGACTGCCAAAAGAACAAACAAATCTGTATTGGAAAAATACAGTCAGAATGCTCCTTAGAAGCCAGGATGATGAGAATTTGTCTCTCATACTTCAGACATATTATTAAGAGAGACCAACCCCTGGAGAAGGACATCATGCTAGCTTAAGTGGAGTGTCAGTGAAAAAGAGGAAGGTTTCCAGGATGGATTGGCAGTAGCAATGGGCTCAAGAGTAACAACAATTGTGAAGATGGTTTCGTTCCGTTGTACATAGGGTTGCTATGGGTTGGAGCCACCTTGACGGTACCTAGTAACAATAACACAGGCACATGAGGACAGAATGCCTTCTATTTGAATGCACTGGGTGAAAGTAGTTTGAGAGTAGTCATGAGGTTCAAACTGATCAGTTTAGGAAATGATGGACCTGTTAGAATAAAAGTTTCAGTGAAGTCAGTGGTTTTAGGGTACCACCAATCAGGAGGTTAGCACAGGTCGGGGCAACTTTTGTTTTCTGGTATACATAAGGTTGTCATAAGTTGGAGCAGCTAGTAACAAGGGGCAAAAAGGTGAAGCCTTGGACTTTGGGTTCTGATAGTGGGTTTGGAAGTGTAATATTTTTTGTTTGGGCATAGGAATGTGTTTCTGAAGGAATATAGAGCTGCATATCTGAAAGAGTACAATACACAGGCATTCATCAGTGAGTAGAAGCTGTCTGTGCTCCAGTTCATATTTGACTTGCCCACATTCCCTCGAAAGTGTACTTGTTACACTTTCACTGATACTGTTTTACTTGTAATTAAAGACTATTCAAGGGAGTCCTTCCTTAGTTATAACCTGTAGCTCAAGAGATTACTGATGACACCAGACCTCCTTTCCCACCTAGGTATAGAGAACATAGTTCTGATTTTCCTCTTATCTTTCTGTTGTTGTTGTTAAGTGCTGTCGAGTTGATTTCGACCCATCGCGACCCTGTACAGGGTTTCTGAGGCTATACATCTGTACGGGAGCAGAAAGCCTTATCTTTCTCCTGTATTCCCGCAGGTAGTTTCGAACTGCTGACCCTGAGATTACCAGCCCAATTCGTAACCATTACGCTACCAGACCTGTTTCTAAAATGTCTCCTTTGTAAGGTCTATTAGTCTGTATCTCACTCAGAGTATAGACCTGACCTTCAAAAGTTTCCCCTTATTCTGCTAGCTCTTGATGTTTGAAGACTCTAGCCAGTGCTTGCCAACCTTTTGCGTGCCATATTGTTGCTTTGTAAAATGTCATAGGGTTTCTGAGGATTGAGGGTGGGTTTTAACCACTGATCCTGAGGTGAGCAGTCCAGTGCTTATCCTACAGTGCCACATTCCTGCCTACAGTCAGGATTCCTTTTCATGGCATGGCACATAGAAAATATTTTTGTGGTATACACCAAAGACAGTGAAGTGTGAAGTCAGAGGTGGCCTGCTTAATGACTCTGACTGCCCTGTGGGTTGAGCACAACATTTTCATCCCTAAGCAATTTTTATTCACTTTTATAGACTTTGTTGTTGTTTTTGTTATGTGCTGTCGAGTCAATAGCAATCCTGTGTAGAGTTTCGGAAGAGCAGCTGGTGAGCTTGAACTGATGATTTTGCGGTTCAAACTGATCTTGCATTCCAGTGCATTAGTTTATGGGTTTAGACTGTTATTATTCTCTCTCAACCACAAGTTTGTAAGAAACTTTAATATAACTTTAGGCCCCATGACTTAGTCTCAGATTCAACCTCTTATTATAAAGAATTCCCTCCTTGTAATTGCTTCATTTTGTTTGTTTAACGTCGCTGATGTTGAGAAGGTCATGCCAGATGACTTCCAACGTGCCACTTCAAGCATTTATACGAGCAGTGAACAGCTCCGGCTCTTTGCCTATGAAGCAGAAGTCAACGAGAATTTTGAAATGGCAGCTGTGTATTATGAAAAGGTAATTAAATAGCTTCCCAGTGATTGATATTACTTTTATTTGTGCAACATGGGTATGATAAACTGTAGTTTTTTGCTACTTAAACTCCAACCTGATTGGTGACCTGGTAGACACATAGATAAAAATACCAGTTAGAGTCCAGAAATGTGTTGTTGTTGTTGGTGGTAAGTGCCATTGAGTCGGTTCCTATTCATTGCGACCCTCTATAGAGTTTCAGAGGAGCAACTGGTGAGTTTGAACCTCTGACCTTGCAATTCAAACCAACCTTGTAGTCCAGTGCTTATCCCACAGCATCACACCAGGACTCCCTGAATCCAGAAATAGACCCACACAAATATAGTCATTTGATTTTTGACAGATGTATGACAGGAATTCAATTGATAACAGATAAGTTTGTCAACAAATGGTATTAGAATAATTTTAAAAATTAACCTAAGCTTTGTACTTTATGTGAAAATTAACTAAAAATCTATTGTAAATCTAAATGTAAAACATGAAACGATTTAAATGTTTAGAAGAAAACAGGAGAAAAGTCTTTGTGACTTGAGATTAGGCAGAGTTTTTAGATGTGACACCAAAGGGATGATCCAGAAACATTTAATAAATTTTAAGTTTTTGTTTCTTTAATAACACTGTCAGGAACAAGAAAAAGAAAGCTGCAAATTAGGAGAAATATTTTCAAGACATATCTCCAACAAAGGATTTGTAACCAGATCATAGAGAACTTCCTAAATTCAGTAATAATTAAACAATTGATTTTTAAAAATGGATCAAGAATTTGAACAGATAAATGATCTGATAACAAGTTTAGTGCCTCCTAGTTCCATATGTCTTCTGGGGATCTTAAAAGCTTGTAAGTTGCCATCCAAGCCACAACAATTAGTGTCTATTCACCTGGAACAACAGAAGAAGATGGAGAGTCAGGAGTCTGAGGAGGATATGGAATGTGTAGCTAACTGCCTCTCTTGCCATGAGACCAGAAGAACTGGATGGTACCTGGCCACCATTACTGAGTATTTTGATCAAAGATTCTTTAGAATCTTACATCAAAAGGGGGAAGGTGCAGAACAGAATTACAAACTCTCATGGACTCCAGACTTCCTGGAGCCATAAAGGTTAGATGAACCCCTGAGATTATTGACTGCAAATAATCTTTAAATGTGAAACCAAAAATATCCTCTGAAGTCTTCTTAAAATCCAACGGTAGTTTAGCTTAACTAGTAAAAAATGTCTGCCTTGCTCTTTTAAGAACTATCTATATGCATTCAAATTGACAACAGCAACTCATAAAATTATATCGAGATCCTTAGGGACACTTGAGTATATGATAATGGGGAGGAACAACTCAGAAAGGAGGGTGAAAATGGCTACAGAAGTTGAAGAATGCAATCAGTGTCACTAAAGTGGTTCATGTAGAAACTGTTGAATTGGTGTATGTTTTGTTCTCTATATTGTCAACAACAGTTAAATTGTATATTAAAAAAAGAATTTCAACAGACACTTCACTCAAGAGGACATCAGGATAATCAGGATGACAAATAAGCACATGAAAATATATTCAACATCATAAAGCATTTGAAAATTATTCAACATCATAAAGCATTTGAAGAAAAGATATTCAACATCATAAGCCATTTAAATAAATGAAATCATATGTTTAAGCAAATACCTGTACAAAAATGTCTACAGCAAGTTGTTGACTTTAAATCATTCAATGTCCCCTTGTTCTTTTCAAACAACTTTCTCTTGGTCTATGTACAGGTTCTTCATGAGCACAGTTAAGTGTTCTGGAATACCCATTTTTGCAATGTTATCCATAGTTTGTTATAATCCACACATCAGAATGCCTTTGCATAGTCAGAAAAAAGCACAAGTATTTTCTTGTATTCTCTGCTTGTAGCGAGAGCCATCTGACATAAGCAATGATATCCCTTGTTTCACGTCCTCTTCTGAATCCAGCTTGAATTTCTGGCAGCTTCTTGTTGATATACTGCTGCAACCATTTTTTCATTTTCTTCAGCAAAATTTTACTTGTATGATATTAATTATATTGTTGGATGGTTTCTGCATTCCTTTGGGTCACTTTTCTTTGCAGTGGGCACAAATATGCATCTCTTTCAGTTAGTTGTCCAGGTAGCTGTCTTTCTACTTTTTTGGCGTAGCTGAGTGAGCTCCTCCAAGGTGGCATCAGTGTGTTAAAACATTTCAATTTGTGTTCCATCAATTCCTGGAGCCTTGTTTTTTTGCCAGTGCCTTCAATGCAGTTTGGACTTGATCCTTCAGTACCATTGATTCTTGATCTGGTTAAACATCTGGTTAACCATTCTTGAAATGGTTAAACATCGACCATTTCTTTTTGGTCTAATGACTGTATTACTTTCATCTTGATGCTTCCTGTATCTTTCAATATTTTGCCCAAAGAATCCTTCAGTGTTTCAAGTTGAGCCTTAAATTTTTTTCTTCAGTTCTTTCAGCTTGAGAAATGCTGAGCATGTTCTTCCCTTTTGGTTTTCTAACTCTAGGTCTTTGCATATTTCATTATAATACTGTGTCTTCTTGAACTGCCCTTTGAAATGTTCTGTTCAGCTCTTTCACATCATCATTTCTTCCAGTTGCTTTAGCCTCTGTATACTCATGATCAAGTTTCAGAGTCTCTTCTGACAACCATTTTAGTCCATTCTTCCTTTCCTGTCTTTTAAATGACCTTTTGATTTCTTCCTGTATAATGTCTTTTTTTTTTTTTTAATTAAATGTTTTTATTTTGGATTGAGTGAAAGTTTACAGGGCACATCATAAGCTTCACATTCAACCATTCATATAGCTTGTTTCATTA